CACCTGGCCATGAAACTCGACCAGTTGGAGGCCAACTCAACGAGTTTTGGTGATTTCCAGCCTATAAAAAGGGTGTCGGGGCACCCTCATTTCTCACACCTTCCAACTTCACTTTCTCTCTCTACTTTCTCTCTCTAGCCTCCCTTAAGCCACCTAAAGTCTAGGTAAACCCCCTAGCACCCGAAGGAAGCCCTGAGGCTCCCGGAGTCCTGAGAAAAGAGCCTTTCGGCTCGGGAATGCTGCTCCAGCGAAGCCCGGTTTTGCGAAAAACCCGCTGTAAGTGAGCTATGCCTACCCTATCTTTAGTATAGCTTATGTTTTAATATAGTAATATTATTAGGACCTTAAAATAATTATTTGGGCTATTATTATGAGTTATATAAGAGTGTTGCTTAACGCTTATATAATAGTAATAATAGCTACGCTATTAATTACTCGCGGTTAACGTTAGGCTAAACTCTAGTGGTAATGATACTAGGTTTTGTCCGAGGGAAATTGTTTTAAGATTAACGAAGCGTTGTCCGAGTACCGAGTGGCCACCTTATCAGGTGAATGCATAGTTACTTTCAGCTTACACATAGATATGAAGTATTTTAATATAAATTACGTGCTATGTATGCATATTGTCTAAATACTTGCTGTCTATGTTGAGTGAAAGATTTTTATACATGTTTTAAATGATTTAAACTGTATATGTATTTTATATCTACAAAATGTGTTGGGTAAAACATGGGTAGATGGAATAGTTGTTGTGTGATAACACGATGAAAGACATCAATGTTGGCAGTGATCCTGTCATCGAGTGGAGTATAGAGGACGACCACGGACTATACTAGACAGTCCAGTGAAACGCTAGTAGGCTCGTAACCTGTTGGTGTTTTTGAACTAGGTGCTCACTAGATATTTTTGAACTGAGTGTGTTCACTAGGTATTTTTGAACTAAGTGTGTTCACTAGGTATTTTGAACTGAGTGTGTTCACTAGGTATTTTTGAACTAAGTGTGTTCACTAGTTACTTTTGAACTAAGTGTTTACCAGATGTTTTGGACTACGTGTTCACCAGTTTTAATCTATAAACATTGGTAACGATGGACTTCGTGCCAAATTCCTTAGGATGATCCTTAGGAATAAATGAACGAGGAATAGCTGATTCTTAGGGTAGATCCTTAAGAGTAAAGAAGATAATGGGGATGGGTAATTGGGTTGATTGTTTGATGTTTAAACATAATGATTATATTATTGTGGGTTGAAAACCCTATGTACTCACCATGTTTCCCAACCTGACCCACTCAGTTTATTTGAATCACAGGTGTCGATATGAAGTTACATTACACTGAGAGATTAAGGAGACATAAATCACTAGTGATAATGAATGTAAGTTCTGTTTATGCTTATGTTTCTGTATTGACGATGACACCCCAATGTTTTAAAATGAATAAAAATACATTTCTTCAGAAATGCTTTGATAACGTAATTATCATGTTTTACTGGGAACAAATTCCACAACATTTTTATCAAAAGAAGTACTCTGATTTTTATAAAGCATAAACAAAATTGGTATTTTCTGGCCGTGAAAATGGGGATGTCACAAGTTTATTCTTATGTTCTTCAATATCTCGTACCCATTCATCGACTATTCATTCCATTAATCTAAATTAAAAATCTCTTGCATCATTGATGAATCTTATTAGTTTATTAAAAATCTTCTTGTCGTGGATTTAGGGTTTTCTCTATTGATGAGTTATTGGTTTTTTAGGCTCACATTCTTAAATTTCACTCATATCCATGCTTGTTTCATTGATTGGATCTTGATTTGTGGCCTAAATATGTTATCAATCTCTGTGGCAGAAATGAATTTAAATTATCTCAAGTTGAAGATCAATTTTGAGAAAACAAAAATTGTTTCGGTGATGAAGCAATAAACATCGTGTTAGATCAAATTAGCATGCATTGATGAATGGAATTTGTTGGTCGATTCTCGTGAGCTGCGAAATGGGAAGTCGATGCAGAATAATCGAAAGGGATTTTCTATTGTATGATTTTCGCTTGTGATGCAGTTAGATGGGGGAGATTGAAAGTTTAATTGGGTCTAGATGCTAGTTGAATGAAGTTTGAAAGAAGATAAAGAAGTATCAAAATTATAGTTCAGAATTGGGTTTTCGTTGATTGTTATGGAGCGACTTGGAAAAAGAAATGTTTGTTATTTGTGTTGATTGGGTTGATTCCAAGAGGAGATGATGTTGGAATGAAAATTGCTTAGTCCACTTGGTGTCTTTTGAAGGATTTCTATGGGGATGGTGTGATTTCTAATTGTAATCTGAAGTCAAAAGTCATATTTGATATGCTCTTAGAATTTATTAACAAAGCTCTCTCCATGAATAGTAATGACACTGATGTGGCTTTATCTGATGATGTGTCACTTTAAACCGGCTAAAATAGGTTACGATGACTAAAACGACAACACATCCACTATGCCCCAAAAAGCACGAAAATAAGTTAAGAGACTGAATGGGCAAATACGCAATACATTGAAGGGCTAAAGCGTCATTTTCCTTTTTCCTATTTATAGTCTTATTTTACATTTTTTATGTTTTAGCTTTTTTTTCTTTCAATAATAAAATGCTAACCATATTTTTGTCTCTGTTATTAGTTTACACTTCAACTTTCTTCACATTTGACTCTTGTATGATCTAGCAGACATTTTTTTAAAAACAAGTTATATAAAAGGAACTGATGTCGTATTAACTTGAATTTTTGTCGTTGTAATATTAACTAAATGTAATATTAACTATGAATATTTACCTACTTTTATAGCGGAAATGCTTAATATTTTGCGACATTATGAAATTTCACAACCGGAAATTTACGAAAGGTAACAGAATATTTTGCATTTATCCGAAAAAAGATAAGTCTAAGCTATCAATATTGAAATAACTAGTTGTGAGACTCATGTATTACATGAGTTAATTTTAAAAAAAAAGTAAGATATAAAAGTATAAATATTTGAGAACTTAAAAATTATAAGAAAATAAGAAAAATAATGAATTATTAAAATTGAAATGTTTTTTTTTATATTTTAAATATAAAAAAAATAATTTGAATAAATTAACAAAATAAATTAATGAGTTTTAATTTGGTAATTTTAAAATTAGAAGGTAAATTAATTAATAAAATTGATATCCATTTATTACTACATTTATTGTAATTATTACATTAAAAGATTATGTCGAATTTAATAAAATAAGAAAACTCATAAAATGACATGTGGAAAAAAATTAATTCAAAATATAACCAAAAAATGACATTTTGCAAATTGAATGAGAGTGTGACATGTGGTAAAAAAAACTTTCATTTATTAGAGAGGATGTCATTATTTTTATAGTATATTAGAAGTAACCAAGAGACCAACAACAACTTAGTTTTTCTACACCTTTTAGAAATCTAAAAAAGTCATCTACCATATCATAAAAAATAATGGAATTTCTAGATATGGTTATCCCAAAAATAATGGAATTATGAAAATTTCATAAACACCATAACGCAGATCACCATTGTATCAAACGCCTTCCGTTCGTCTCCTGTAAACTGAGCCGAATTTACATGTCTTCCGTTCGCCTCCTGAAAACTAAGCCGAATTTGCCCAGGTAACTAAGGACTGAGCCGTGACAGAAGTGGTAACATTAACTTGAATTTTTGTCGATTAACTATGAATCATTACCTACTTTTATAGCATAAATGTTTAATATTTTGCAACATTATGAAATTTTACAACTGGAAATTTATAAAATGTAACAGAGTATTTTGCATTTGTCCGAAAGGATAAGTCTATAAGCTAACAATATTGAAATAATGTCGTTATTTTTATAATATACTAGAAAACAACTATCTTTTCAAATATCGTGTGAAATAATTTTCTTTTAAACGGCGAAATTATATATACAAAAAAGTAGTAAAGTCCTAGAAAACACTTATTACAAAAAAAATACAAGGTAAGGGTAATTTTTTGTAACCAAGAGACACACAACTTAGTTTTTGTGTACCTTTTAGAAATCCAAAAAAACGTTTTATCTACCACATCATAAAAAATAATGGATTTTCTAGAAATAGGGGTCCCAAAAATAATGAAATTATGAAAATTGCATAAACACCAAAACGCAAATCACCACTGCATCAAAACGCCTTCTGTAGGCCTCCTGCAAACTGAACTGAATTCTCTCAAATGCAAACTGAACTGAATTCTCTTATGTAACTAAGGACTACACCGACAGAAATAGAGATTTGCACACCTCCCCCCCCTAATAAAAAATGCAACCACATAAGTCCATCAAATCCAAACATCCTGCAAAAATATGATCAATCGACTCAACCGAATCTAAAGACATAACAAACTCCATGTTAATTTTTTTTCCTTGTAATTGTTGTTCCTGGCTTGGCATCTTGCCAAGTTTGTGTAATAAAATGTGCGGGTTCAAAAAAAATGGTAAATATCATATAGGGTTGATTTAAACTAACATTAATTTCAAATATATTATTATTATTATTCAAAAATGAAATATAAAGATTCGTTAAATTTTTACTGACAGTCAAGAAACACGGAAAAGAATGCAATAATTAGGATGGTGATTTAAGAAGATCCAAAATCTGCTCACGGGTTACTTGGGACACTTTTTCTGTCTTTAAGCCAAACTACGACGTTGTATTTTGATTCCAAGCCCCACCGCCACCTCATCATTAAATATCCAAACTAACAAACATAAGCATACACAAACACACACATATAACGAATATCCCTTTTTTTATTATAAATACTTTATTAATTATGTTGTGCTTTATACGACCTACATATAGTTGATATCGAACGAACAAAGCAAACAAGTAATAATCTTATATTAATTATGATTGAAACATTCATATTGATAAAAAAAATAATAACAAGGGCTTATAAAAAAGGATGGGTTGAGTTCGGTTAGATGAGATGTTTAATTCACTATATATTAATATCTAAAAGGTTAGCCAATATTGTTTATGGTTTTCACAAGATAGTGGCGGCGGCGGTGGCAGTAACGATTGTTGTGGCGGCGGCAGTGGCGGTGTGGATGTCGGCGGCGGCGACCTTGGTTGCTGATTCGATGGTGGCAACGGAGGTGGATGCGGGATGAGTTTGGCCATGGTCTCGGTTTGAATGTCGATGAGGATGTTGACAGTGGCCATTTGTGTGATAATTGCATCAAGACGGCGAACATTAGCGGCAGAAATAGCGATGAGTGTGGAGAGTTGCTCGCGGATACTTGGCGGTGTGACATCGGTGGACGGATTTTGATGGGGAGGCATAATGAACGGGAATGAAAACACCATTGATAGACACCACTTAGAGATGGCTATTCTCCATAGAAGTTTAGATAAAAGAGAGAGACAATACTAAAACAATTTTTCTGATAATTCATTCATAATTCTCAAATGCAGCGATACATCAATTTATATAACAAGGGAATGCATGTAATACCTAAAAATTGGGAACATGATTTTATGGAAGTAAATGGTATTAACTATATCCTAGTAAATAGGAAGTTGCATGAAAAACTAGAAAGCAGTAACATGAGATCGTGGGTTGCAAGCTCGGGATATCCATGAAAAGCTTTAATGACAATCTGTAAGGTGTTGCAAGAGTATCGCAAAAGGAAGTCCATTTAATGTATAGCTTTTTTGATGGGTCCGGCCATGGAGGTGGCCTTCGATATGGCCCGAGGCACGTATCAACCTCTATAACTTTTTTTTTTGTGAAGTAGGATGTCATCTTCAGGAAATTTTATTAATTAAAATAATATAATTTCAAGGTGGAGACTACCCACCTATGAAAATAAAAGGTTTCAGGACAAGCCCTAAAAACCAAACAACTTAACAGGTATTATTGCAAAAACAACAAAATAAAATGTCAAAACATGTTCTACACCCTAAGACATAAACATAGCAAAGAAAAAGTAGGGGAAAACCTTACAATCAAGTAAGAAGTAATTCTAGATTATTCTCCGGCTGATTGTACTTCATTTTCATTATTAGTTTCATCAAGTTATTTTTTTGTAATAATTTGACGTTTTTTATCGAAAAATAGGTTCAACATTCATGTCAAATGCAATAGTCTTAGTATAACCATCATTTCTATATATATTTTTTTAAATGTCATTATATTTTTCAATAAAATATCATACCAAATTACCATATCAAATAGAAATTGGTCATTTCAACCGCATTAACTAAACTTTCTTCTTCACTTTTATATTTACATCATCACATAATAAACATGATTCTATTAAAACATCCCTTATTTGAGAAGGTTGAAACTTAATAACTTTGACACTTTTTATATAACTCTCACGTCACAACTAAGAACTTAACTATATATATATATATATATATATATATATATATATATATATATATATATATATAGTTGTAGTGTAGATTGTGTTGTTGACCGTAAAAAACCTTTAAGTCTGACTAGTTGATGCTCTTAGCCGTTGTAAAATGGCCAAATAAAGCAGCAAATCTTTATTCATTAAGTATATAGAAAACAAAAATTAATCTCAATACATTCAAAAATAGATTAAAACAGAAATCGATTTCACTTTTCAAGTTGATTGTTAAAAGAGATTAAAACAAACTAAAATCAATTAAAATGGGATTTCTAAATAGATTAAAACAAATTAAGCAAATGAAGTTCAAAATCAAATTCAAGTTGATTTTTAAAAACCTCTAATCAAAAAAAAAAAGAGACTATAAGAAGGCTAGAACTTACATAGATTATCAGAATTCGATTGTATCCGAATTCAGATTGTCTCTAAGCCTACATTTCCGAAATTAATGAGGGTAACTTGAAATTTTCAGCGATTGAAAAAGAAATCGAAGTTAGGCAACGACTCTCTAATCGATTTTCACTTTTATGAAATCGATTCGCACCTTTTGAAATCATGAAAAGAAGGAGTTCTAAATTAAATTTTAGTTCACTGACTCTTGAATCAAGTTTGTTTGGAACTTCGGTGGTATTTTGGACAAATTCAGAAATAGAAAAAGGGTAAGAAATCGATTGAGTTGAGAAAGAAATAGAATTATAGAAGAAGAGCTAACTGTTTCTCCTGCAGAAGTGGATTTTGTTGTTTGGATTCTCCATGAAAATCGATTCTTCAAGAGTTACGAGCCTTAGAAATCGCAAGTCAGACGCACGCCACTGTCTCGATCGCTACTTTGCTTTCGCTCACACTCATTAGGCTGATCAGGGTATTGGGTAATTGGGCTTTGAACAGATAGTCCACTAAGCTTAGAATTGTTGGGCTGCTACTATATAATTAATATAATAGGTTATAAAATGAGCCCCCCTTGGCATTTGGGGGCTCGGGGCGGTCGCCCAGCTTACCTAGGCCCATGGGCCGGTCCTGGGGGAGGGGGATTAGGTTTAGAACTTAAAAGAAAGCAACGTATGTTTATCTTTCAAACATCCTGATTTGGAATATTTTATTTTGATAATTGACATCAATAATGTCCAAAACATCGTAAACATTGTTTGTACCATGTGTTCAAAAGTTAAACATTTGTATCAAAGTCGATTATGTCATATATATATATATATATATATATATATATATATATATATATGATGTGACATGGTTCCTCCACAACGATTCTCTACACCTTCTATGATTCTGATGAACCTGCGAGGTCATAGCGAGAAAGGATCTTCAGCCGTTCTCCGGGAGGGGGCTCCTGGGAAAACGCTCTGACGGTCAATTCAGTGGATAGACTTGGGATTGTATTGTGAGTAAAATGAGAGAGAATCACCTACTTCCTAAGGCACTTGGAGTAGCCTTTTATACTGAATCTTTCTGCTAATTCGTACGGGAGAAGTGCGTCAGACCCGACAGGATCAGGGTCGCTGATTGGCGGATCGTGCTCCATAATCTTTCGGAGCCAATGATTGGTTCAGGTGTTAATGCTTTGAGCATCTGCCTTGTCGCCTAAGAATGTTACTTTTGCCCCGGAGTGGAAGGCGCCCCTGGCGGGGCCGAGCCTTTCTCCACGAGCGCCCTGCTCTTAGGGGCGTTGATGGGCGCTAGGATCCATCGGGCTCGACATGCCTTGGGGCATTCTCTGGTGCGATCGGGCGCGGCTTCTTCGTGTGCTTTAGGTCACGTCATCAAGTCCCATAGTCCAGTAGTCATAGTGTTGCTAGACTAGCTATGATGTTCTGGACTTAACTACTCGGTGCACGCGTCGAACTCCGATTCAATCATCGCTTCGATTTTTACGACGACGTGACTGCCCATTATGGCAGTCGGTGACATCACCACGTCTGGGATTTTGAATATCCCTCATTTCCTTATTCTTAATAAAGTCGAAGGCGTTCCTTGTTCACACCACTTCTTTCTCTTTTCTTTTCCTTCTTCTTCTATGGTTTTTTCTTGGTTCCATGGCCGCTCAATCTGGTACTATTCCGTCTGAGGCCAACTTCAAGCTTCTTAGTGATGCTTATGGCATTTCCTCGACTGACGGAGTTGAGTTTCCATCACCTGACTCGATGATCTTATCTCCTCCCCCAGGTAAGGTGGGTGTCTATCTGAAAAACCCTCGACGTTGGTCTGTGCCTTCCTCTCACTAATTTTCAAGAGGAGATTTTGCAGAAGAATGGGTGCAACATCCAAATGCTATCAACAAGGTAGTGGTGTTTGAGATGATCTGTCGAGCCAATGGGCTGCTTCTCGATTACTTCTTCTTCAAGTATTTCTTCAGGTTTTGTGCTACTGGCGATAAATGTATGTTCTTTGTTCGGTGAGGGGGGCATACCTTAGTTCCTGACGGTAAAACCCCCAAGAACTAGCAATATAAGTGTTGTGGGTCAATCGAGATCAGGTTGGCAATGGGCGGTACCGGGCGAACAAATTTGTTGATGTCACTCCTAAGTTATATCCTCACAACCAGGCTATTGCTGATCTCCTGAGGACTATTCATGTTGTGCCTAAGGAATACTCTGAGGTTTTGCTTGCTGGCGTTGGTATGAGCCCTTCGTGGAAGCGTCGGGGGAAGATGCCCATCTTCTACACTGTTAATGATGGTGAGTAGTTCTACTATTCTTCCTTCTCCCCCCCCCCTTTGCTGGGAAAGGGCGGGGGAATTTCTATGCATGGTTATTTTTATTATTGACTTGTTTTCGTTTTGACATGCGTTGAATCACCTCTCTCAATGGACGAGGTCTTGCGGAAGCGGTATCGGGGGAAGTTGGAGCACCGGGAGACTGATCTATTTGAGACGCTTCCCTCATCCCGTCGTGCCGATCGGCTCGCCGTGACTGCTTCTCCGGTGTCGCCAGCCATGGAAGGATCTTCGACGTCCATCGGGGAACCGCCTTTGGCCGCCTAGCCTATCTCGACGGTTGCTCCATCTTTTGCTGTCGGCTCTGGCCATACGGAGGTAGTCGAGGATAGCAAAGAAGGCATCATTTCTGACGTCCGGCGGGCCATTGCTAAGAGGAAGGCCATCTTGGCCATAGGGGAGACCTCCACCGATGTCTTTAACATCGGGAGGCGGGTTCAATCGAGACGCAACTTTACTCGTTTATTGAACTCTATCTCCTCCACGCCGAAGGCAGTTGTTATGATCCCTGATGACGACACACAACAGTCCGAGGGGGATCAAGGGGCGATCAAGCAGCCCATAGTTCCTGTTCAATATATCTCGCAGTCTTCTTCTGATCTATCTCCCCTTAGGGTCCCAGGGGTGCTGAGCTACATCAAACCCCACCTCGCGAAGGGCTCCTTGGGTGGTTCTAGATCTAATGTTTTTGTTCCTGCTTGGATTTTGAAAAATGGATCTCATTTTTCTATCCGCACCAACGTTGTGGAATTTACTCGCCATGTATTATAGCCCGCTGTTGTCGCCGACATGGATGGTATGCGGCAGCTTTGCGTTCTGGAGCACCGGGAGACTGATCTAGTTGAGAAGATTCCCCCGTCCCGCCGTGCCGATCGGCTTGCCGTGATTGCTTTTCTGGTGTCGCCAGGTGTGGAAGGATCTTCGACGTCCGTCAGGGAACCGCCTTTGGCCGCCCAGCCTATCTCGACGGTTGCTCCATCTTTTGATGTCGGCTCTGGCCCTACGGAGGTAGTTGAGGATAACAAAGAAGGCATCATTTCTGACGTCCGGCGGGTCATTGCTAAGAGGAAGGCCATCTTGGCCATAGGGGAGACCTCCACCGATGTCTTTAACATCGGGAGGCGGGTTCAATCGAGACATAACTTTACTCGTTTATTGAACTCTATCTCCTCCATGCCGAAGGAAATTGTTAT